ACAGTATCTTCCAAAGAGCTTGAGCAAAAAGACGATGAGATTAGAGGCCTCAAAGCCATAATTCATTCCCTCAGCCGAGACTCTATCCCTGGTGAGCCCAAGCCTCCTGCACCAAGGCCTGGTTCATTGATGGCCGAAGATGTTGTGGCGAATAAGATCGCGCGCGACAATCTCGAGCGACAAGTTGCTGAGCTCCAATCTCTCCTTGAAAAGAAGAACAGTCGCGAGGACGAACTCGAGAAGGAGCTTGAAACAATCCGTCAGAACGGTACAGCGGCCAACCGGTCTTCTTTCAGAGACTCCCGAGACACCGTCGTAATGGCCCAGGCAATGGAGAACCGACCAGTCGAGAACCTCAAGAGATCCAGTACCGCTACACATAAGCGGGTCAGCACCCTCGACACAATGCCAGAGAGTGACGACTACTCCAATGCCACAGAGACTAGCACCCTCTGGTGTGAGATCTGTGAGACTAACGGTCACGATATCTTGACCTGCACCAACATGTTCGGCCCTGATGGTGCTAAGACCTACGGCGAGTCCAAGGCCATCAAGAAGGCCAGCCGCGAGGAGCTTAAGCCGCATACCCCTACATGTGATGACGCCCCTGCGCCTCTCACGCCATTCAGGCTCAAGAATGCTGGACCTCCCTCTCCCGCAGTCAAGATCATGCCGAACCCCATGGAGTCAGGCCCCGTTGCTGGTAAGGAAAGTGGCATCATGGACCCCGAGAAGTGGTGTGCTCTATGTGAGCGTGACGGCCATGACAGCGTGGATTGCCCCTTCGAGGATGCCTTTTGAGGGCCAAATTCAAATATTTGTTTTCTTAACGCATAGCATGTTGGAGAATCATTGGAACGAACATCAGTGGGGCTTTTCTTGAAGCCTCGCGAAGGACCATTAAACTATGCTTGGTGTAAGGGGCGTGATGAAAATCGCCTCAAGCGTGTATCCCCTTTTCATGTTCTTATTTTCGAAGCTTGGGTCGCAGTCAGGTTATGAATGCTTGGTCCTTGTCTGGTAAGGCACTCTTCGTGATACCATATTCTTACTTGCGTTTCATATCAGTAACCTGTCTTGTAGCACTTCTCCTGTAATACTATATGACATGGTATATCAGACTCTTTTTAGGTCAATATTCGTTGTTAATGTGACGTCAGTAGATGTGTATTATCTATCGCCTCGGTGTACTTTGAAACATGTCGCTGCCTATATTTATTTCCTGTGATATTTGTAATCTCTCCCCTCGAGCACTATGCCACCACCGAACACTCTTCCACATCTCACCATCCCACTCACCTACTAAAGCACGATACTTCACTAAAAACCATATACTGGGCTCCCAACTGCGTGAGTCCCACGGCACGCCTGCACCCATGCCACGTGAGTTCATCCAAGCTCCCCAGCATGTGAAACCACCGGAGAGAATGTCATGACACAAGGCCCCTTCATCAATGGCATTGGGATCTTGCTCGAGAACGGTGATTAGATTCTTGCGGAAGGTTTTAAACGGAATGACATCCTAGCTGCATTAGTACACAAGAGCATGAAGTCGTCCATACTGACACACAATGTAAGGATGATGTCCAAACGTTAACTGCTTCTCGATCGGCTGAAGATCGGATGATACGTCCAAGAATCTTGACTTCACAAAGGACAATGTTGATGGATGGTGACCTTCGTCCGACGTGACAGAGAACACACTGCAACCGTCATCGTGGAGTATCTCGTCTACACCCCCCATACCGAGAGAGTAGCAGTTTGCGAATATTGCACCAAATATCCCAGGCTCCATTGTGTATTGCGTTGGGAAAAGCGATGGTCTCGCATTTGCTGTCCTGAACAATGCCTTGGCAAATCGGATGGCTTGAAGTTGACCAGGAGTCTGATGTAGCATCTTTTGTGAAGAAGACGGAGATTTTGGCTCCCGGGTATCTTGCTGTAGGTGACGAAGAAGAGATCGTTTTTGTTCAATGCTGAGGCTCTCTACACCATGCAGGACGTCTTTCAGAGAACTGTCGTCATTGCTTGAGGCTCTTTGAGAGCCTCTGTGGCTAGAGTCTGGACTATCCTCAAAGGCTTCTTCTATGGCGCAATAGCCTAAGCAGTCTGCTGGGGGGTGGCCTGTAAACCTTGGGGATTGTTGTATAAGCCCAGGCATGACAGCTTCCCATTGCTCATGAGATCCAAGGTTGGGAGGGTTGCCTTTGTCAAGCACTGGCAGAAATTCCGATGCCAGTTGGTTAGAAATGACCGTTGGAACCGACTCCTGGGTAAGATCTTGCCAAGTTTGCGGCACAGAATAAGTTCCAGTGCCATCGAATCTGTTGAGATCCAATGGTATGAGGTTGTTATTCAAAGGTGCTAGAGGAGCGCTGGTGTCACTCGAACCACTGGGACCAGGAACATCATCTATATGACCATTACCGGTGATACTAGGAAGGCTACTGGGGTCTAGAAGCTCATTTAGAAGGGCCAGTTTCTGCTTCCGCTTTTCGCCTGTGATACCAAGGTTGATGGCGTTAGTATGGTCAAGTCCGCCGATATGACGTGCAACTTGAGATCAGGAAGACTACATACGATAGTTTCGGCTAGCAAGACGGTTCTGTTCACGGCGTGCCTCGCTATTACGTTTGGCTGACACCTTGCCCTTCTGTATCTTTGTGGTCTCACCCATGATACTGCATTGGATGGTAATGAGGTGAGATTAGGGTAAGCAGATGTGGAACTGACGCAGCAGATAAGAAGGATGATGACAACTGCGGCGCCAAGGAAGTTGAGGGTTTTTCTTCTTCGTTTTTAATCACTTTTGCGCTTATTGGGGGCACATGGGGTTTTCCGTTCAATATTGGCTTCTTGTCGTTCAAAATTATAGAAACTAACGCTTCAGTCCGTGAACAAGGTTGAAGTTATGAGTTAAGCGGTGCCACTTTTATACTTAAAGCAGTAGTGGTTTATGGACCAATTGTATTGATTACTTTACTGATTCTATTATATCCTGCAAAGGGTTCCATGAGGCTCTTATTCCAAGGTATTCTGGAGAAGTCGCAGGGAACAAAAAAATATCTAATCTTAATACAGGATGTTAAAATAAACTTAGTAAAGGGTATCCTAAACTAAGTAAAAGATACTCTAAACTCATACCAACTTACCCTAAGTCTTTTTATTATTTAGGATTAGGGCCCTGAGTTTTCTTTACTCCCCTAGGGAAGGTAAAGCAACTTCCAAGATGTCCTAGATCATAAGACGTAAGGTAAGTTTAGGGTAGGCTTAGAGTGGGTCTCAGACCAAGGTTTCTATTATTTCGTGTTATCTGGCTTCTGGGTCCGAGGTTTTCTCCTCCTTGCCCGGAGAGTCACATTGTATACCCCTGATCTTTCATCAGATCAGAAAAGTCTATCGTACAACAGAGAGATAGTGTGTCAAAACTGACGTTGCTTGAAAGACGAAACTGGAACCTCGTGGAATAACATGGGTTGTTTCATCGTCCGAGAGAAGCCTGGCGATTATCTCACATGTCAATGTTCTGTGTAATCTCATTATTCAATTCTGCGTGGTCAGGGAGGTAGGACACAGGGTTTGTTTAACAAACAATATGTACCTGGAGTACCCCAGTTCGTTAGAGAGGGTGGTGGAAGTTTCCAGGCCAGATCTGGACAAAGCACGCGACTTCACGTCCATGGTGACCATTTATAGACACATCTTTTCGAACGATGTAGAGAATATAACGGTCAAACCATAAACTGCCATACGCCCTCCGAGCCAGGTATTCTAGCTTCCGCGGTGACAGGGGATGCCGGGCAGGCGTTTTTGAGGAGGCGAAGAGTGAGCGAATCAGTGCAACACGCTGCATGCCCGAACAGGAGCATCGGGGTCGGGTTGTGGGGTCCTAAATCGGACCCTGCGGCTGGAGAGAAAAAAATCGAAGAACTTTTGGCCACTGCAGGAAGGGCCCTAGGGGCATTTTGGAGGGGTTCTAGGGGCGCCTCGCAGGGAGGGCTGTTAGTGAGGTACCTTCACAGCCTGGACAGCCTTGTATGAGACCTGTTAAGGCATGGGGGCGTGCATGGAGGAGGTACGTAGGTCCATTGTTTGTTCGGTGTTACGGGTGTAAGCAGGTATTGTATTTACTGGTATCGGATGCAGCAGTGTGACCCTGGGATGAGCTTTGGAGTGTGTGGAAGCCCCTGGAAGATCCGAATGCACTCCAGAAGAAGGTACGGAAAGACACAGAAAAACGAAAATGTAAATTTATTTTGGCTTTCGACAGGTTTCCCGTCCTTTTGGCGCGTCATAACCTTCAGCCGAGACCTGACCCCTATCTCTACCTACTCCGTAGCCCGCCCGCCCAGTGTGGTTGTGGTTACTACTACCTACTACGACGCACTAAGACGCAGGTCATGCATTATCAGCACCGCCACAGAATCTACATTCTTCCACACAATTCCATGAGGCGCGCCTGTGCTGCAGCCTCCCCTTCTTCCATCTCAAAACCCGTCCGCTCAATCCAAATTCAAGTCTCAGCGCCTAATCTCGACTCGATTTGAACTCGACATTCGACTCTGACATTTTTTGTTTGAGACACTTTTCTCTCTTCTTCTCTGTGGGATAAACTCCCCTCCGTTTTGCCATTTGCGAATTCCAGCGCTCTTATCGATCGCCTCTTTCTCCCCTCCACTTATTATTCGAATCGAATTTTAGAGACCAAAACCCGTTCAAACTTGCCGCAGCGCAGCCCCGCCGTCGGGAGACTCGAGATATATACACCCTTTGGCGAACAAGGTACGCATATAAAAACACTGTCTTCTCCCTGCGCCAGATCCTCGGTATACGATGTTGTCATAGTTCATCTTCTTTGCACATCATATTGCTGTTGCGCGCGTGAAAATCTGCGTCTTTGTTTGCTTTGTCCGAGCCTTACTAATATACAACAATAGTCCTCGCCTCCCCTGTTATCTTGGACCTTGGGATAACAAAACACAACTCGAGCGACCGACACAATGGTCAAGGAAACCAAGTATTACGATACCTTGGGCGTATGTTCTATCGATCCCCGAAAAAACCTCGAACAACTGCTAAACCAGATCACAGGTTGCCCCTACTGCTACTGAGCAGGAACTGAAGAAGGCTTACAAGGTCGGAGCCCTCAAGTACCACCCTGGTATGTATCCCAAGACCCTCTTGGTCAGTTGAACATGTCTAATGCCACACAGACAAGAACGCACACAACCCCGATGCCGAAGAGAAGTTCAAGGAAATCTCTCACGCCTATGAAATTCTCTCCGACTCCCAGAAGCGACAGATCTACGACCAGTATGGTGAGGCCGGCCTCGAGGGAGGTGCCGGCGGTGGTGGAATGGCCGCCGAGGACCTTTTTGCTCAGTTCTTCGGCGGTGGTGGTTTCGGTGGCATGGGCGGCATGTTCGGTGGTGGTGGTATGAACCGTGGCCCCCCCAAGGCCCGTACCATTCACCACACCCACAAGGTTACCTTGGAAGATATCTACCGAGGTAAGATCTCGAAGCTCGCTCTCCAACGGTCGATTATCTGCCCCAAGTGTGAGGGTCTCGGTGGCAAGGAGGGTGCCGTCAAGCGATGCACTGGCTGTGACGGCCATGGCATGAAGACAATGATGCGCCAAATGGGCCCCATGATCCAGCGCTTCCAGACTGTCTGCCCTGACTGCAACGGAGAGGGTGAGATCATCAAGGAGAAGGATCGCTGCAAGCAGTGCAATGGAAAGAAGACCACCGTCGACCGCAAGGTCCTCCACGTTCACGTCGACAAGGGCGTCCGCAGCGGCACCAAGGTTGAGTTCCGAGGTGAGGGTGATCAAGCGCCCGGTGTCCAGGCCGGCGACGTCGTTTTCGAGATTGAGCAGAAGCCCCATGCCCGCTTCACTCGCCGAGATGACGACCTTCTCTACAACTGCGACATTGAGCTTGTCACAGCTCTGGCTGGTGGCACAATCTACATCGAGCATCTCGACGATCGATGGCTTGCCATTGATATTCTTCCTGGCGAGGCTATTTCTCAAGGTATGTTTTCACTGTGATGAGCTCAAGGAAAGAAAGCTAACTGTTTTAGACGCCGTCAAGATGGTTCGCGGCCAAGGTATGCCCTCTCCCAGGCATCACGACTTCGGCAACATGTACATCAAGTTCAACGTGAAGTTCCCCGAGAAGAACTGGACCGATGATCCCGAAGTTTTTGAGACCCTCCGCAAGGTTCTCCCGCCCGCCACGCAGAACGCACCTCCCGGCGACGCCATGTCCGAACCCGCCAGTCTCGAGGATCTGGACAACACAACCCAGAACAGAGTATTTGGCAACTCCGATGGTATGATGGACGAAGACGACGAGGATGGTCATCCCGGCGGTGAGCGTGTGCAGTGCGCCTCGCAGTAAGCTGGTCGAAAGAGAGCGGCGCAATAAACACACGCGGCGAGTGCCATAACTGCATCAGCTGTATGTGCGAATAGGGCATTTCGCACATCCACAGTCTTGGTCAGAGACAGTGCAGCTGAGGGTGGACGTCAGTCGTTGTCGACGACGTCGCTTGATCGTTCAATGATACCAAAATTAGCAGAGGATATGATCTACCAGGCATTGTGAGCCAGTGTGGTACTGGGGATATGGTGCAGTTGAGTGGGCACTTGAGTTGAACTTCGAACGATCGTGTTTGAGGGGTTAGTGAAGGTGGAGGGGCTTTCGATCAGGCTTGGCTGGCGTTTTGAGGACATAGATGATTCAAATGAATTTGGTAGTAGCAGACGTAGACCATGAACATGATGATTTGTTTGTTATTCTAATATTGGTTGGCAAAATCTACCAAAATGACCTTTGTCCATTGTGGTCCTGCAAAATCGATTTCTTTTCTATTACTCTTTGTACATCCCTATTGCTCCTCACCACGGCCAGCCTCTTCCATGACTTGGTCTTCGGGCATCTGTTCCTCACCCCTTTCTTCTTCCCGTTCCGTGGCTTGTTTTCTTAGAGGTTCGGTGTTATACAAAAGACCCCTCACGATTTTCTCATCGACATCAAGTTCAGTGCTTTCAACATCATCGTCATCCACCGAAGCTATTGTGCTTGTGGCGAGCTTTTCATCAGTCATGGTAAGTGAGTAGATAGCCAGGCCTCTTGCTGGCGTAGAACCGCTGGGGTCCAGAGCAGCGACGATCTTGGGTGCTTCATTACCGTTGGCGGGCTTGATAGAGAGGCTGAGGGGCTTGCCGGGAAGCTGGATAATAGCTGGGTGATTAAGGGCGTGATTTTTGGTGAGTTGCCATGAAAAGATGGCAGAAATACTACTCAACGTGAGTTACGTTATGGGGCATCAATGGATAAATACACTTACTCCTGACATATGGCGAGAATATAGACAAGATCCGAGCCATCGTGTGGATATACCAGGCTGTAAAGCCCAGACACAGCTACCTTTGTAATCTCAGGCAATATCTTTTGAGCTAAAGACAAGATGCTGATTTTGGAGAGGAGCTTGTTTGATTTCCAATCCCAGACGAACAAGTCCTCGTCACCACCACCCGACACCAGTACATCACCACGCGAGGCTGGAATGACCATGGAGCTGATGAACTCTGTGTGACCGAAGCAGAAACCCTCGATGACATATGACTGAGGAAAGTGTCTTGAAATCCGAATATGTTCATCGCGATCGGCAGTAAGAATGTATCGCCGACCCTCACTCTCACCGATCACAAGTGCAGTAAGCATCGAAACATGGCCAAGCAATAGAGTGATCTCAAAGTCTGGACCTTCGGCTTTGGAATTGCTGTCGTTTTTGGTCCGTGTAGACAGCTCCATCTGTCTTTGCTGCTCTTGAAGAGCTCGCAGGTTGCGCTTTGAGTGAACGGTTGTAGTATTGGCAGATGGTTTATAAGCTGGTTTGGCGGGGGCAGGGGTCGAAGCAGTCCGGAGAGTAGGATCGTAGAGGAGAGGTAGAGAGTAAACATCTCCAAATTTATCAGCGACAATGATCTGGGAGTCTGGTGCGATAACGACATCACTAGGGCGTTTAGGAAGAGTTCTGGCCTAGAATTAGTATACGGGCTGAGGAGTTTTTTTTCTCATCTATACGAGCTTACCGTTTGCTGATTTGGTTGAGGGAGCCCTCCTCATCATTCTCGAAGACCCAAATGGCCTTGTCGTGTCCAGTGATAGCCAAGATATGTGAGTTGTCAGGAGTACTTGTCAGATGCGTAACGACTGGGCTATCAGGTACGCGTGAGATGTTGTGATTCTTTGCTCGTTGCTGATTTTGTCTGTTCTTGCTCTTTTTCCCACCCTTCTTTTTGCCCTCGCTTTTCGTTTCCTCGGAGATTTGAGTATCCTCTTGGACCTCTGGCTTGGTTGGAGTTGTCTCATCCTTTGGCTCTTCAGTTCTTTGTCTCTTAGCTGGGGGACCAATGCCATCTTCTTCCTCGGCGGTATGGGTCTTTGTCACGGGTTTCTCAGTTAATATGTCACCTGAAATAGCCTTAACTGCTGCGTCTACTTTGTCAACATCTGGATGTTTCCACGACGACAAGTGAGATCCATCCTCAAGGCTAAAAGAATGAATCTTGCCTCCTCGAGCAGCAAAGAGGACATTTCCACTGACGTGAACGACGTTGAAGGGAAATTTCATGACGTCTGAGCCCCCGTGAGTTGATTGAAGATTGATTATCAAATTGATGAAATTTGATACTGGAGCAACTGCTTGGTGACAGCTCAAATCAGACTCTTCTAAGTTCCACTTTCATGGACGTAATAGAAAGATACATCGAGGATGTACCTAGGTATGATTAGTACCCCACCTAAGCCACCTTACCTAGAGCAGACTAGCGTCTCCATGCCCTAAGCGAATGGGCACATAACATTTTCCGAAACTGCCAAAAGAGTTTTTGTACTCATCAACATCTTCATCAACCTCCAATTTCCATTTTACGATACCCCTTGCCCTTAAATACTCCTGCCTTCAGAAAAATAAGAAGATATGGGGGGCAAGTCTGAGAACAAGGCCAACTATTTCGACAAGCTCAAGGGCTTGCTCGAGGCCTACACCTCCATCTTCATCGTCGAGGTTGACAATGTCAGCTCCCAGCAGATGCACGAGATCCGACAGGCTCTCCGAAGCAAGGGTGTTGTCCTCATGGGCAAGAACACCATGGTGCGTCCCTTTTTTCGAGGAAGAAGACATCCACCGGTTGCTAATAATGTTTCCAGGTTCGCCGAGCCTTGAAGACCTTCATCCCCGACTCCCCCGAGTACGAGCGTCTCCTCCCTCATGTCAAGGGCAACGTTGGTTTCGTCTTCACCAACGACGACCTTAAGGAGGTCCGTGACATCATCCTTGCCAACAAGGTCGCTGCTCCTGCTCGTGCTGGTGCTCTCGCCCCTGCCGATGTCTGGGTTCCTGCTGGAAACACTGGTATGGAGCCTGGAAAGACCTCTTTCTTCCAGGCCCTCGGTGTCCCCACCAAGATTGCCCGTGGTACCATTGAAATCACCACTGATCTTAAGCTCGTTGAGGCCGGCTCCAAGGTCGGTCCCTCCGAGGCCACCCTGTTGAACATGCTCAACATCTCTCCGTTCACCTACGGTATGGGTATCTCCCAGGTCTACGACCAGGGCCAGTCTTTCCCCCCCAGCGTTCTCGACGTCGGTGAGGAGCAGCTCCTGAAGACCTTGTCTCAGGCCATCACTACTATCGCTACAATCTCTCTGGCTCTCAACTACCCGACCCTGCCTTCTGTTCTCCACTCAGTGGTCAACAGCTACAAGAAGGTTCTTGCTGTCGCAATCTCTACCGAGATTACGTGGCCCGAGATCGAGGAGCTCAAGGACCGCATTGCCAACCCCGATGCTTATGCTTCCGCTGCTCCTGCCGCTGCCGCTTCTGGTAGCGCTGATGCCCCTGCTGTGGCTGAGAAGAAGGATGAATCCGAGGAGGAGGACGAAGACGAGGAGGGCTTCGGCGGTCTTTTGTATGTGAACCTCTTCCAATACCTTGTGCGTACAACTAACAAATCTGCAGTGACTAAATGTAGTCACATCAACCGGATGTACGACTGCCTTCCAGGACTTTGGTTGGGTTTACGACTTATGTATCTTAAAAAAGGGGCACATAGATCGTCTGCTGGACAATTGAATCCGCCGCGACGGTTACGAACCAAGTTTTGGGACTCAACATGCGAGTGAAAGCTTTTACTAAACCGACTAATGCAGCTCTGCGGATTGGGTGCGATACCCAAAAAAGGTTAGTCAGACAAACATCAAACATTCTTTTTTCTTTTTACATTCCCGGATGATTATATAAATTGTTCAAGAGCTTTTTAACCCTGAATCTCCTGATGACACACACATCACCACCCTATGACGGACACCCATTACAATCATGTTAATTTGACAAGATGTCTTTTGAGAGTATCAAAGCTAATGGTCAAATCATACAGGTCTCGACGCCCTCGATTGTTCTTAAGCTTCCACAGTGTGATGTCCGTGCATATTGACTAAACGAATCTAATAGCCCAGCTAAACTGTAGGATATGAGAAGAATGGTCATACCCAAGATAATCACATTTACTCGGAAACGAATTGCACTTCTAGTTAACTTTCTATAATTATAATAATATATTATAATTGGAAGCTCAGAACTCTTGTTACACTTTCCAGGCACGGATTAGAGTTTTGAGATAGACTACGGTCGATTAATACTATCTATCCATTGCATTCTCACGCCTTGTAGTTTGTCTTATTTTCCATTATCCCATGAGCTTGCAAGAAGACATTCTCAAGTCTTTTATATCACTGTAAGAGGCGCGACTTTATTTGCCATCAATACCTACCAAAAGTGACCTATATGTTGTTATCTTGCTTCAAGGCACGTTTCGCTACCTCAATGGCTCGATCCGGTAGCCCAGCGAGCCTTGCAACTTTCAGTGCGTGGCTTTGTCGGTTGATACCTCTCTGAAGTTTGTGGTTGTAGAAAAAACCTCCCTCATCATCCTCGACTACATTGGTGCAATATGTCTGAACAATACCTGCCTCGGCTGAACACAACCCCTCTGCTTGAGCCAAGTCGGCTACAGAGTGGAAGTGTGTCGCAAAAAGGGTGCGGCATTGGTTGACGGTCGCGAGGTGATGCAGGCATGCAAAGGCGACAGCTGTGCCGTCCTCTGGCGTGGTTCCTCGACCGATCTCATCCATTATGACGAAAGACCGTGGTGATGCTTGCTTGAGGATCGCTGCTGTTTCCAGCATCTCTACCATAAATGTGCTTTGATCGCGGTAGAGGTTGTCAGCTGAGCCCACTCGGCTAAAGATAGCATCTACAATCCCCAATTCTGCGTATGATGCAGGTACGTAGCAACCGATCTGGGCCAAGATCGTGATGAGAGCATTCTGGCGTAGAAACGTACTTTTGCCGGCCATGTTGGGACCTGTGATCAGCCAGATCCGGCCGTCAGTTGGCGATCCAACCAGACAGTCGTTCCTCACAAAACTTCGACCCTGCTCATATAGGCCTCCCTCAACAGTGGGATGTCTGCCGCCTATAATGGTGTGACTAGTCGTGTTGTTCAGAACGGGCCGGACGAGGTTTTGCTCCCGAGCCAACTTAGCGAAGGAGGTCGTAATGTCAAGTTCATCGAGGACAGCGGCATTACGGCGCAGCTTGACGAGATTTTTGACGACAAGTTCCCGAAGGGAGTAGAACACGGCTTGTTCTTCAGCGCGAATCTGGGCGCGAACTTGGTCCATACGCTGCCCGAGAAGTGTCCATTCGGAGATGTGAAAAGATCGCGTAGAACGACTCGAGGACAGAGCTTGTACATCAGTGAGATTTCGAGCGTCTTTGCCCTTGATATGGGCAATGTGGCCAAGACTGGGTGTCCACTTGAGGGATAGACTTGGAGCATTGAAGCTTTGGCGGAGGGTCTGGTTGAGTGTCGTTTTCTCTTCTGTCAAAGTCGCGAGATCAGTGTGAAGCTTTGCTAAGTTTGGGCTCGCAGCAGGTCTCATGACCCAGGCTCCATTCTCTTCGGCGTAATAATCCCGAATACTGACGGGTCGTTTTCGCTTGCCCTTAGGAAGAGATGCCGCATCGTCCTGCGAACCTTCGTTGCTAACGACAATCTCAGCAAGGGCCAACATCTGACTGGCCTCGGAGTCTTGGACGTCATGCTGTAACACAATACCTTCTTCATCAATTGCATCTCTGATACGCTGGGAAAGTTTCAGGGGCTGCGTGAGACTGATTCGAGATATCAATGAAGTTAGGCAGTGGTGCTGTGACTTGCGAAATGCAACGTTGGCCTTTTCCAAGAGATTCACGACATCCCTGGTCGCATCGATAGTACTCGCCAAATCGAGGAGGTCATCAGCATCGCCACGGCCAAGTGTGAATTTCTGAACAAGTCGCTGAGAGTCGTGGCTCCTACGCAACAAGAGGATTATGGAGTCACTCAGGTTTACATCATCGATGAAGCGGGTGACGAGGTCTTGTCTACGAGTGATGAGCTCAAGAGACGTGGACGGTGCACTCAACCACTCGTTGAGAAGTCGAGCACCGCTTTTCGTAACAGTGCGACGAATGGCATGCAGCAAACTACCCCGGAACACGCCATCACGAATGGTTTGCTTGATCTCAAGGGCACGCATGCTATTTTTATCGACAGCCATGACCTGCATGTCTTTGTTCCTTAGCGGAGGTTGCAACTTCATACTCATGCCTTGCAGCTGATCCTTGACATAACCAAGAAGAAAGCCGGCAGCGTGTACCTCAGCTGGTGAGAAGGCGGATACTTCATGTTTAGCTAGGGCACACTCCAGCATGGGCGTCCAGTTTTCCGGATGGAACAGCGAGGAATCATGCGGGCGGGGTGCGTATGAGATGATGTGACGATCCTCAGCGAGGAGGTCAGATAGGCCATTGTCAGGGCAAGATTGCAGTGTCTGGTCTAAGAGAAGCTCGCGCGGGCATAGTCGGGACAAGATCGTCGGTAAAGATGCAAGATTGGCTTCTTGAGTGCAGAAGTAGCCGGTTGAGAGATCAAGCCATGCTAGGCCGAGTGACACGGCGTCTTGGAACCCCTGAGACTGTCCAGCACCTCGGCCAACGCCAACAGCTGATGGTAATGGGTGGGCTGATTCGGGTCCATGGCCCGCTAGTCCTCCTCCTGAGCCTGCCACTCGGCCGATAACGGTCTTTACATCAGTGACGGTATTTGTGACTTTGATGCTTGAGTCAATATGAATCGCCATCACGTAGTTGTTGGCATATGGGTCCATAAAATTCTCATCGATTAGAGTCCCGGGAGTAATGATACGAGCAACTCGACGGTCATGCATCAACCCACCTGATCTGACCTTTTCTGTGGGAGAGTTTGGATACTCCTCAGCGATCGCGACATGGCGGCCGAGATCTTGAACGAGAATTTTGAGGAAACGATCGAGCTGGAAGAAGGGGAAACCTGCCTATAAGACGGATGACGATGGTAAGATGAACGTCAAGGTAGAGGGTATCAATAAACATACCATGGGGACAGGACCAGCATTTGTCTTTTTGTTAGCTACCTTGATGTTTAACAGGGGTCCGTACTCCTCAGCGTGTTCAAAGTAGAGCTCATAGAAACCGCCCACTCGCGTCAGCAACACACACTTATCAAACTTGAGCATATTCTGACGGGCTTGAAGTAGCACTGTAGGATACGCGGGAGGATCTTGGGGTAGTGGCGGCAGCGGGAGCGGCAAAGCCTCTGTCGACTCATCGTGGGGAGACGAAACTGACGATGACGTTGGTAGAGGAGATGCTGGTTTCGGTTGAATAAGCCCCTGAGGCAAATCGGAGAGCTTTACGGTGGTGGTGGTCTTTTTACCCCTGGATTGGAGAGGATGGTGGGGAGACGGTGGATGTTGGAATGAGCGGATAGAGAAGCCATGGTATAGTGAGTGTCCAACATGACAGTGCCTATGAGGAATAGCAGAAGCTTTAGGTGGAGGAGCTACTACTGTTGCTGCAGCGTCGGAAATAGCAAATGTGGCTGCCTTGAGCACAGAGCTAGAGGCTGAAGCTGAAGCAGAGGCAGGCACAGAGATAGACCTGGAAGTTGAAGCTGAAGGTGATGATGCCAAGGGCCGCAGATGGCGGATGCCGAACACTGGGAGCACCATACGGCTGGAACATGGAGACGGGATGGGCTGTTATAGTGGCGATGGTGTTTACCTAGGTACGCAATGAATGAATGGATATCCGTTGGAAGTATCCAGTCCAGCAAGCAAGGGCAGGCCAATTCCTGATTTGAGAACAGCTCAAGAGGGGTCGTTCGTAAATCAACACTCCAGCTACCTAGGTAGGTAAGTAGGTATGATTGAGCAATGCTTGCTGGGGGGGTGAGGCTGTCGACAATAGAAGCAAGATCTGGCGTGCAAAATGGTGGCACTGATGAACAAGGAATGATATGGCGATCAACGGATGGATTATGCAGGGCTCATATGATGACAACCTAAAAAGAGGAAGCAGTCCCATACAACCCCGCTGGTGCGAGATGCTTGAAACTAGGTACCTAGGTAAGGTAAGGTAAGGTAAGGTAGCAAGGAAAACAGCAGCATGGGGCATCAAAAAGTGGCACCGAGTATTGTAATCAGTTTACCATACAATTGACGCGATTCACTAATAAACACAATAAAAGAACACAATCGTTGAGTTACAGCTTGCGCTGAGTACCTACCTACTAAGGTAGACAGAAGCTTCAAATCCTCTCTAGGTAAGGTAATCAGTTTCTGGTTGTTTCTATGTGGGGAATAGCGGATATGACGAACGTTGTGGAATATGTAATATCGGCGAAAAATATAAAGGAAAAGAAGATGAATACTAGGTACCTAGGTAAATCAGAACCAATCCCACCGAGCCCAGGAGTAGGAGCCAATGCAACAGCTTCATCTGCGAGACCAAATCTGCATTGACGAGCATAGAAACACCACAGCGGACTGTCATAACTACCTACCTACCTATCACCTTATTTATTAGGACACAGTCTTCAACAACTTTGTTTTGCCAGGGTCGGCAACCACAAAATCTCCTCATCTCCAAGTAGTAACGAATGAGGAAAGGAACGTTCGGTAATAGTAGGACCCCTTGGCTTGTAATTGCGATCCTGATGGATGATCCAGGGACTTTGTGACAAGGTACTCCAGAGATTTTACGGGGATGGACAGCGCCAGGGCCCACAAGCGAACAGCACATGTAGGCATGAAACGGAAGGAATCTGATCATGGAGGCGTTGACCAACGAGAGGGACCCGGGTCTTCGCGAACAACGTGTGAGTAAACAGTCGAGAGTCAGCGCCCTCGAACGACGGTAGCTAATGCACGGCGATTCGCGGCTTTTCCGAGATCTACAGGGCCTGGTTCCCTCTAAAGCAATCGATCATGCCTGGAAATAGACCTGCCGGTATGGATGCAGGAAATAGAGTTCCCCTCTGGAGTTTGATGTGGGAAGTGGAAGGACATGTGGTGCCATAAATCAATGCTACATCAAGAGACATTTCGTTACCCCATTCCTGGGTGATATCTCGAGATGAATGAAGCAGGCCTCAGCACCTAAACTTCCATCGAAAGAGCTAAATCCTCGGCAGGCAGAAATTATACAGTGCGGAGTGGTTTCGGGCACTAACTACCTTACCTACCTATGGTAGTACGTAGTCGGTAATGTATGTGACAGACCGGCGGGACTTGGGACTTATCGGCTGCCTTACCTACTCCATGCGTCGTAAAACCGTGGTCCCATGATAGCGTCATCATCATCCCTCAACACCAGATGGCCCTGCAAATCTGCCCAAGCTACCGGAGCTGGAGCTCAACCCCTCCAACCCAAGCCCCGACTCACGATGTATGTGTCTCAAACTACTAAGCCAATGTGCGCACGGTAACTACCTAAGGTACCTAGGTATGCTGCTGGGCGGTAAAGCGACTGTCCTCCTCCTTTGGACCAGGGAAGGGGAACAGTAGATGACGGGATCTTTCCAACGTAGCAGTCGGCAAGCTAGCATGCCTATGGGGATCCATCCTTCTCTGAATGAACTGTTGTGTGTACTGAACAGCTAAAGGCAAGCATCTCGGTAGATCAAGGAACGAAGTCCGAAGACCAGCCTTGTCACAACAGGACAGCACCACTTCCGGTTTAAGCAATCATATCAGATGGGGGCCTATTAGATATGGCATGGGGTTGAGCAGGAAAGAAACGACGAGACATGAAAACAACACCATCGCTGCGAGAGACATCACAGCATACCTAGCTCTGAACAGCACATAGTGACAACATGCTATATCCCCAAGACAACACATGAGAGGCCCAGAGTCAGCATCAGATTGAGCGGCCGTCTCCATGAGAGCCAGGGAACCCCCTTGATAGCCTCCAAGCGGTCATCTGGGCCATGGCATTGAACTGTGCCGTACCAGGCTCAACTGAGAGCCATGCAGAAGAAACAGACACTGGAATTCAGACATAGCTCGCTGGATGGATGCACTGTATCTCCCATGCCATCCATAGAAAGACGTTCCAGGATTCCAGGTTTGATATGACCAGAAACAACACAGACGGAGTTGTCACCCAATCATTCACAGCAACAGCATCGACTTTTGGGCGATAGATGGATGTGCTTGCTGGGAATTCAATGGCATAAGCATATCTTCCCGCGGGGTCGGCGTGGGCCGATTCTTGAGAGAGCCTCAGCCCATTTTGGGTCCGCTGCCACACGACGTCGCCGCACCCCCCTGCCCGAAAGCGCCAAACCCTCGACCACATCTGTCGATTGTGAGCTAGCTATATATCCCCTTTGTGCGCGTTCGCTGGCCAAACACAACGTCCTTCGCTTACGCATCGTTATTGTGCTCATTCACTTATATACAGAGATAGAACTCAGCTATCGACCCTGTGTCTTGCTCAACTGATCTGATACAATTCTCCACATTACCACTTACACGCCCTTGATCCTCAACACCAACGGCCACCCTGACAGCAGCCGCACGATAAACCTCTTCAAATAACGCGATATAAACATTCAAATCAGCTCGAAAGATAAAAGAGGAACACAGCCCCTGTATAGTCGAATATTCCACTCCCCAGCGCCATTTAATCCCAGCACACAGTCCCTTACCTGGAACAGTGCGCCTGGACAACCTGGATCACCATTCAGCATACATATATATATATATACTCTCCAAACCTCACTCAGCGAAGAACGCCTTATGGCGGCTATGATGTCGTCTGTCAACCCTTTTACACCGGTGACCCCCCCGCCGGAGAGCCACTCCTTTCCTAAACTTCCTGCCCAAAGGCCTTTACAGAACACCCTAAAACGAAAGGCCTCGATGCAAGAACCCTTCAGTGGCCTGGCAGGCCTGGCAGGCCTCAACACTCCCACAATGATGGCTCCTCCCCCCCCTCCGACTTCACAGCCTAGAATGTCCTCGTCGCCAAACCGCAGTTCTGGGCCTAGCTCCAGCAGCACTCCTCAGTCGAGCGAGTCAACAACCCCCGAACTTCCCAGTATCGCCGGCGCCAATCTCGATCCAAAGTACCTCGCCATGGTTTCTCGTATCGCTGCTTACTATCAGCAGAGGTGTCAGGCTGTTGCCAACTACCAACAGCAACGATGCCAGGCTTGGGCCAACATGCACAGACAAAAGTGTCAAGATATGATGCAGGCGTCTATGTTGGTTGTGGCATGGTACGTGAGAGATCGCATCCAGCGCAGGCGAAGAAGGGAGAAGCGCCATTTCAGATCCGGCTTGAGACGAAGGACAGATCAGAATAAAATCGCACGGACTGAGGTCGTTCGCCGCTGGGTTAAGCAGATCCCTGAGGGACCCGACTCACCCAACGAGCCCCTCAACGTTCAGCTTGCCGACCGCGACGAGGCCGAGTTCTCCATGGATCGTGAGACACAGCCGGACAAGGACACCAAGTTATTCGAGATGGCCGACAACCTCATAAAGAGCCAGTACAAGAAGATTGAAGTTCCTATAATGGGTGTCCTCAACTTTGACGAAAGCGACAACGACAGCGAGAGTGATCTGGATGAGCCAGAGCCAGAGCAGTACGATGAGATGGACGAAGCCGAGGACTTGGCTGAAGACGACGAATACTACGAAGTGGAAGATGATGAGCTGTACGACGACGAGGACGAAATCGAATACACAGGAGACGGTGCTTCAGAGGTTGTTCACCATGGCACAGGTACTGGCTCGGGCAGCCGAAACAATAACTTGAGTGAAACCTCATAAGACTGATTCCCCCACGCAACATTTCAGCAATTAGTCCTCTTCCGAGAGGCGGGGCGAGGAACCTCTCTAATGAAGACAAGGACGCATCTACATCCTGGCGACAGAACACAACTCCAACAATCATGGGCACATTTGTACATTGGTTTCTTTTTCAGGGAATGGCGCAATAACACGGCGGTTGATGGTCTACAACGAACTTACACACTGGAGTCAAGAGCATCTCCAATATTTTATTATCTGTTTCTCATGGCATACATACATCGATGATACCTTTTTTCTAGCATGGCATATTTGTTGATTTCTACTTGGACATCAGTGTAGGTTATACCTGGTAGTAGACCCAGTAGGCAGTCGTACGCGAGCTGAGCGTAAATATACAATCGACATAAATGAAGATATTTCCATCTGGACATCCGTTTCTTGATTGTGTGGCTGCGGATACAAAACATAGGTACCTAGTTCGGGAGTGTTACTCATTTAGATCTAGAAGAAAACCGAGCACTGACGCCTCGTAAAATCGTGGGAGTGGTCGAACTGCCGCGTTCTAAACGCAGCACTGCATTTCGTTGATCAGCGATGGGACAAGAGGGGAAATGCCAAAAAGAGCGGGAAATGGCATGGTAAAAATCGATCATCGTAGCATTGAACCGCTTGGGCTGGCAGACTGGGTTGGGCAGTGCGTACTGTACGGAGCACTCGGCAGTAAAACAGCCCATGAAGGGTGAGGAATCGTTCGATGTTTCCTCGTTTTAGGGCGACATATTCTGCAGGCTGGTCTGGGCTTCAGGTGCTGAGTAAACCGGTGAGGAGGAGGAGACAATGTCAGACAGCCAACTACCTTAGGGTAGGTACCTACCTGGTGGTGGTTTGTGAAAGTCTTTAATAAAGTCCCCTACCTAA